AGTGTGTTTTCATGCTCCTCCGGGTGTAGTGGATAGGAGTGAGTTTACTTCAGATTGCTCATCATCACCTGCCCCTGTTATTCAAATAGTGCTTCTGTGTCTCTACGGAAAAACACAGTTCTCACCATGAAAGTGGGATTGTACACTTTACTCGTGAGATTCTGCTTAACCCTCAGAATAACTTGCCCCACGCTCTGAATAAAGTCGACTACTGCATGAAGCTTTAGTTCAACTCATGTTTTGGCTCCATTGTCTTAGGTCCCACCACTTCTAGAGCAGTGACAGCCCACCTAGGTGGAATGCATTGCTACTCATGTGTGTGTGTGTGTGTGTGTGTGTGTGTGTGTGTGTGTGTGTGTGCACGTGAATTCTGTTCCACTGGATGAGTGTGCCATCATTTATTAGTTGGTGGGCACTGGGTTTTTTCCACCATCTAAATACAGTGAGTATTCTATGGAAGTTCATGGTCCATTTCCATGTAGACATTTGGTTTTGTTTCTTGTGGATCTACGAATTGTGAGGCAATATGGTGTTCCTTTGCTCAACTGTCTTGGGGACTGTCAGTTTGGTTTCCATGGCAGCTTCACGCAGTACTGTGGTGGTTCTCTAGAGCAACAGGATCAGGAGGTTGTGGGGCCAGAGAGGTGTGCCGACCTGCTGTTTGTAAGCTGAAGGTTCCCACAAGATCAGGCAACGAGGGGATCTGTCCCAAGGAGCAGGAGAGCTAAGGATGTCAACCTCAGTCTGAGGCAAGGAGAGGAGATGGCACATCTCACTGAGACAGGAGGAGTTTGTATTTCCCCACCCTCGGGACTAGACGATGCTACCCTTGTTGGAAACGGCAGTCCTGCTACAGTTAGGACTTCACACAGATTCACAAGGAGAGGAGGAGATATTTATAAAAAAATATCTAGTTGACAGCAGTTTCTGTCCCGCCTGCTCCCACAGCCGTTCAGTCCCAAAGAAACACACAGAGTTAATCATAAACTGATTGGCCAGTAGCCAGGCAGGAAGTAGAGGCAGGGTGATGAGAACAGGAGAATTCTGGAAAGAGGAAAGACAGTTTGCAGTGGTCACCCAGATGCAGAGGAAGCAAGATGAGAATGCCTCACTGACAAAAGGTACCAAGCCACGTGGCTAACACAGACAAGAATTATGGGTTAATGTACGATGTAAGAGCTATTTAATAAGAAGCCTGAGCTAATAGGCCAACCAGTTTATGAACAATGTAGACCTCTGTGTATTTCTTTGGGACTGAATGGCTGTGGGACCAGGTGGGACAGAAACCTCTGTCAATAATCCAGTGCTGGGGCTGGAGGGATGTCTCAGTGGCTAAGAGCACTGCTTGTTCTTTTAGAGGACCTGAGTTCAGTTCCCAGCTCACAACTGCCTGAACTCCACCCCCCAACACACATGACGAGATCCATTCACATAGACACACACAAATAAATAGAAGTGGTGTGTGGGGGGGAAAGAGAAGCAGGAGGAAGAAAAGGAGGAGGTAGATTTCCCAGCACGCACCAACAGTATACGCCCAACAGAAAGGCGTATACTGAAAGACAGGCAAGTGACTCTCACCATGGCTTTATTCAGAAATGACCAAATTAGAAACAGCCCACATGCTTGTTAATAATAAAACTCATACAGTGTAATCCTACACATTGAAAATGAACACATGAAAACATGAAGAGTTCTCATAATCTTCATGTCAAGATGAGGAAGGCAGATAAAAAAGAGCCCAGAAGGGCATACTAAATGTTTGTATAGAGTTCACCCCAAGAGAACATGTTAGAAGTTGGGAATGGTTCACGTTGGGAGATGTGCATGGAGCAGACCTAAGTTGAGAGCGTGTGAGATTCCGGCAAAGCTCCTTCCTTTCTTCCTCCCTCCCTTCCTTTTTTTTTTTTCTTTTCCTTTCTTAGACAGGGTTTCTCTGTGTTGCTCTGACTGTCCTGGAACTTACTCTGTAGACCAGGCTGGCCTTGAACTCACAGAGATCTACCTGCCTCTGTCTCCCAAGTGCTGGGATTAAAGGTGCGCACCATCACCACCTGGCCCTTCCTTCCTTTTTAAATACAGAGTTTTATTACATAGCCCAGATGGCCTCCAACTTGTGTTCCTCCTGCCTCAGCCTTCTGAGGTGTGAGCTTCCACGCTTATGGTCTGTGTTTTTAATGGTGGTAAAGCCGCTATCTAAGCCATCTGAGGCAGCAGCCATTGTGACTCAGGCCTATAATCCCAGCACCTGGGAGACTGAAACAGGAAGATCAGGAGTTGAAGGTTATTCTGGGATACATAGCACGTTTGAAGCCAGCCTAGGCTCCCTGAGACCCTTCCCCAAAAAAAGTACCTTTGAAACCAACAATTCCTTGCCCTCTTCCCCAGCCCTGGCAACTGATTTTCCATATGGTCTGTAGGGATTTGGCTCATCTAAGTTCCTCACATAGGGAGACTTCACAGCACCTGTCCTTTGAGTGTCTGGCTAGTTTCTGAGCTGACGTCATCACAGTTCTTCCCGTTGTAACCTGTGTCAGGGCTCTCTTTGTTTCTAAGGATGGTGATGATGCCACTGTGTATGCAGACTGTGTTTTGTTGGTCCAGGCATCTATCTGCCCAGAGTGTCTTCTCCTGTTGGCTGCTGAGAAAGTGGTTCGCTACAGAGTGCTCTCTCTCTCTCTCTCTCTCTCTCTCTCTCTCTCTCTCTCTCCCTCTCTCTTGTGTGTTTGTGTTAAGCCACAGAACAATACTGTGCCTCAGTAAAAGTTTATGAAAAGAAAACGACTATGCTCTTAAATGAAACTGTGCCATTCAGCGAAGTATTGCTGCAAAGCCTCGGGGGACACACACTACCAGAGACTGCCGCCCCCCCCCCACAGCCTCTTCTCAAGAATAAAAACAACAACCTGAATTTTCCGTCACAGCACCACCCAGGGACAAATCCAGACAAACAGGATTGGGCATGGACAGACAGGCACAGGCAAGCTGCAGCAAGAAACACCATCTATGTAAATACAAAGCCTAAGCCTGTAGTGGCCCACGAATGTGACCACCTGAGGTTATCTCAAACACATATGCACCCACACACATGCACACACACACACCAACAAACACCCACAAGGACTATAACAGATGTATTGTGGTGAATACACATGATACCAGCCTAGGCCTGGGTGTACATCTGTTGTGTGTGTAGCAATACCACAGCACACAGTCTAGTTCTGCCTCGACGTGAAGAGGGTGAAGACCAGGCCCTTGGGATAAGGCTGAGAGCTTCCTTTAGATTGCACAAAACCACTTAGCTGTATCTCTTACTGAACCACTCGGAGTTAATTGTTATTTTGAATAATTAAGACAACAAAGGAGGGAATAGAGATGGCTTAGCAGTTAAGGGCGCTGTCTACTCTTGCAGAAGCCAAGAATCTGGTTCCCATCATCCATGTTAGCTCACAACCACTTGTGACGCCAACTCTGGGAATCCAATGTCTCTGGCCTTGGTGCACTCTCTCTCGCTCTCTCGCTCTCTCTCTCTCTCTCTCTCCTCTTTCTCTCTCTCTCTCTCTCTCTCTCTTCTCTCTCTCTCTCTCTCCTCTCTCTCTCTCTCTCTCTCTCTCTCTCTCTCTCTCTGTGTGTGTGTGTGTGTGTGTGTGGGAGAGAGAGAGAGAGAGAGAGAACTCTCTGCTGGGCCACAGGGCGGAAGACCAGGTCAGGCCTCAGAGGACACAGGGACCCTGGAACTGACGAGTTGGCAAGAGTGAGTCTCCCACCTCCTACAAAAGCAGTCAGGGTAGACGCACTTCTCTGCCTCTGGCTGTATGAGCCCCACTTGATTCCTTCCTGTCCCTGAGCAGCAGCTTCCCGTGGGGTGGACACACCACAGCTAGTCGATGGCTTCCTGTGGGGTGGACACACCACAGCTAGTCGATGGCTTCCTGTGGGGTGGACACACCACAGCTAGTCGATGGCTTCCTGTGGGGTGGACATACCACAGCTAGTCGATGGCTTCCTGTGGGGTGGACACATCACAGCTTGTCAATGGCTTATTGTTCATGGTGATCACAGAGCTGTTTTTAGTTCGGTCTGTGATTAATAAGCTGCTGAGAATTGGTATTTGTGACTTTGTGTGGACACAGGTGACTTTGTGTGACATGGTAACTTCATGTGGACACATGGTGTCTTTGTGTGGACACAGGTGACTTTGTGTGACATGGTGACTTTGTGTGGACACATGGTGACTTCGTGTGGACACATGGTGACTTCGTGTGACGTGGTGTCTTTGTGTGGACACAGGTGACTTCGTGTGACATGGTGACTTCGTGTGACATGGTGACATTATGTGGACAAATGGTGACTTTGTGTGGACACATGGTGACTTTGTGTGAACACATGGTGACTTTGTGTGACATGGTGACTTCGTGTGGACACATGGTGACTTCGTGTGACATGGTGACATTATGTGGACAAATGGTGACTTTGTGTGGACACATGGTGACATTATGTGGACACAGGTGACTTTGTGTGACATGGTGACTTTGTGTGGACACATGGTGACTTTGTGGGGACACATGGTGACTTTGTGGAGACACATGGTGACTTCGTGTGACGTGGTGTCTTTGTGTGGACACAGGTGACTTCATGTGACATGGTGACTTCGTGTGACATGGTGACATTGTGTGGACAAATGGTGACTTTGTGTGGACACATGGTGACTTTGTGGGGACACATGGTGACTTCATGTGACATGGTGACTTTGTGTGACATGGTGACTTTGTGGGGACAAATGTTCCATTCCATTAGTTACTGTGAGCAGGGTAGCAAATGTTCTGAACATTCTGCTTTAAGACAGCCCCACTTGCCCATGTATGAAACTTTCAGAGTTTGCACCTATTCAAAGTGGAGGTGTTAGGGTTCAGGTTCTCATTGTGCTTGTCTTAGGATCAAACCCAGGGCTTTCATACGAGGCAAGTGCTCGGAGCCTCACCCCTAGCCTCTTTTCTTTTTTTAAAAATATGGACCACTTCACAAATTTTTGTGTTATCCTTGCACAAGGGCCATGCTAATCTTCTCTGTGTTGTTCCAATGTTCGTAAATGTGCTGCAGATAAGAGCACTTTAAAAAAAAAAGATTTATTTATATATTTATTATGTAGACAACACTCTGCCTCCATGTACGCCCGCACGCCAGAAGAGGGCACCAGATCTCATTACGGATGGTTGTGAGCCACCATGTGGTTGCTGGGAATTCAGGACCTCTGGAAGAACATCAGTGCTCTTAACCTCTGAGCCATCTATCTCTTCAGTCCCAGAAAAGAGCACTTTTTTTCTGGGAGTATCTTGCTATGAAACCCAAGCGACCTCAAATTCTCCTTCCTCAACACAGGATTTCTCCATATGGCTCTGTCTATTTATCTACCTACCTATTGATCTATCTACCAGCCTATCTATCATCTATCCATCATCTACCAATCTATCTACCTGCCTACCTATCATCTATCTATCTATCTATCTGTCTGTCTGTCTGTCTGTCTGTCTGTCTGTCTGTCTGTCTATCCATCCATCCATCTACCCACCCACCCACCCATCCATCCATCCATTCATCTATCTGTGATAAAATCTCTGGTAACACAGGCTAACCTTGAGGATGACCTTGGATTTCTGGTACTCCTGCCTCTACTTTCCGAGCACTAGGGTTCCAGGTGGGTCGTCCATGGCCATTGTATGTGGTGCTGGGGAATCAACACCAGGCAGGTATTCTCCCTACTGGGCCACACCCCCAGCCTCACTGTGGTTTAAATAGCATTTCTCCAGGGACCAGTGATGCTGGTTGGTGCTTCGTGTCCTTGTTAATCCTCTGCTATCTTCTCTGATACCATGTTTGTCTGAGTCTGGGGCCCACTTCTGGTTGCCTGGTTTCTTACTGAGCTGTAAAAGTTCCTTATATATCCTGGGCACGAATTCTTTGGCAGACAAGTCTTGGGGGCATTTGCCCTTAGCCTCCCTTTGAATTTATTCTTAGTAACAGCTGAGGCCCGTACTTGTTTTCATGTCAATAAGAAGCTCAAAGCGGGAGAAGCTAGGTACATGGGTGACCCGAGTCCAGCTGACTGCGTATCCTCGGAATCTGCGATGGAGCAAAGCTGAGATGATGTCGACTCTGTTGTCCCTATCAGCTGGTGTCACCATGCCACATTTTGATTGGGCCAGGCAGTTTGTAAGGCGATGGAAAAGGTTACCAGCGGGCTGGCATCAGGCCAGATCCACTGGCTCTCTTCTGGGAGGGATGCTGGCCTGGGGAGCCAGCACTAATGTGGGGGAATATAGCACCCAGGAGGTCTCAGATAGTGTAGATCAACCAGGCAGAAGGATCCAGGCTAGGAGGGCTCACGCCTGCCCCAAGCTCTTAAATGTGAGCAAAGGCTTCCTGTTGGCAGTGCTTTAGCAGTTAGAACAGTCTTCGCCTAAGGGGATGTTGGCCTTAGCCCCAAGGCTGGGAGGAAACTGCTTTACCTGAGGGAGAGAGGCTGAGCTGAGGGCACTGTGTCCACTGGTGAGTAATCCTAAGGGGAGGTCAGCCTTAGCCCCGAGGCTGGGAGGAGACTGCTCTATCTGAGGGAGAGAGGCTGAGGGGACTGTGTCCACCGGTGAACAGTCCACCCTTCACCAAGCTCTCTGCCTGCCTTCAGGGCCCACACCTGGGGCTGGGCCCTCTCACTATGAAAAGGCTCTTTACAAAGGTAGTTTGGGTAAGGTGTGGGATGCACCTCCCCCCTCAAGATGCGGGGGGGGGGGGATCAAAGTGTTGAGCTGTGGTCTTCCTCAGGCCTAGAAGGGACTCATTAAGAGATATTCTCAGATGTCTCCATAGGAAATTCCTCCTTTCCCCTCCTCTTCCTTTATTTTTATTTATTATTTTATTTTATTTTATTTTGAGACAGGGTTTCTCTATGTAGCCCTGACTGTCCTAGAACTCACTCTGTAGACCAGGCCGGCCTTGAATTCACAGAGATCCGCCTGCCTCTGCCTCCCAAGTGCTGGGATTAAAGGTGTGCACCACCACTGCCCATCTAGATTTATCTTGAATTTATATGTTTGAGAGTTTTACCTGCATGGATGTCTGTGTACCGTGTGTGAGCTTGGTGCCTGAAGAGGTCAGAAGAGGGCATCAGATCCTCTAGATCTGCAGTTACAGATATATGTGAGATGCCATGTGGGTGCTGGGAAGCAAATCTATGTCCTCTGTAAGAACGTCAAACACCATCTCTCCAGCCTTGAGATTGTGCTTTCCTTAAGTCCTTGAACACCTAATAGGCAGGAGCAGGTGCCCAGCTGGCTGGTCCCATCTCAGCCCCCCATTCTCCTCCCACTGGAGCTGGAGCAGGTGCCCAGCTGGCTGGTCCCATCTCAGCCCTCCATTCTCCTCCCACTGGAGCTGGAGCAGGTGCCCAGC